CATATTTTCGATGGTCTTAGGCGACCCCTGGCAAATCGTCAATCGTCCCCCAAAGTGGTCGCGATCCACAGGTTGAGAACCCCTGTGCTAACTACTGTAAAAAAAAAAAAAAGGAAACTCTATGTCCATGTTACAAGGTCTTCATGACTCGCAAAAACCTTCCTTCAGGGAACAGTACCAGGAAAAAGAAGAAGAGACAGACAGACAAAGCGATGGGAAGACATCATAAAAGAAAAAATGGGCCTGCCATTGAAAGAGAGGAATGGAAAAAGACAAGTCAAAAGATCTTGTATGGTGCCTTAACAGACTAAGGGATAGGCGAAGGTCAAGGTCAAGGTCCAATAGCATTTTAGTTTTTGAATTTGTAAAAAAAAATTATAATAAATCTTATTACTTTCATTTCTTTCTTTTTTTAATAGTCATTAAAACAAAAGAGCTTATTTATTAGTTTGGTTTGATACCAGAAATGTATAGACTCTAAAGTCTAAAGTCTCAACTTTCCATGTTACATTGCCCAGAGATTGATTTGCATTCGTTACGCCGTTCGGGTAAGCTCATTGTTAATGACACCTGAAGTTAATTACCACAGTGGCCATTGCTAATTTGCTATATTCGAAAACGATTGTACCTGCAAGCAGTTAAACAAAATTTCGTCGCCTCAGATTTTGTCGACATGGGACCAAATGTTTCTCTGTATATCGATGCGGACCTGGCTTCTGCTTGGCCACGTGAAATGCTGCACTCCTCCGTTTATCTCCGTAATGAGCTCAAGGCGTTTCAATTGTCTCGTGTTCGAACCCAGCACGCGTCCATCCCCAACCGGAAGTTTTCAATCAGGAATATGACGTAATTATGTTTAGTTCTGAAGAAACTATCTTATACAATACAGAAGGTGATTACGTCCTACGCGTCATGCATTCAGTCATGCATATTAACCAATGACTTAAATTCTGCCAAGTCACTGGTTTTCCTGGCTAGCTCAGGCAACCCATTCCATGCTCTAATAGCACTAGGGAAGAAGGAGTATTTGCACAAATTTGTCCTAGCGTAGGGAACGAGGAATGTGCCATTATCCTTGTGTCTTTCTGAGTATTTCATGCTTTTAGCTTTCTTAATACGCTATAATCCTATCACTTATCTGTACCAGTTGGGAAAATGAAAAGGGGGGGGGGAGGATAGAAAGATTTAACAAGCAAAGCCATTTTACGCATCGGCCTACGTGCTATGTTTAAATATCTACAACGCTACAGTAACAGTCTGTGACTACAGTTTGTGTCAGCTTTTCCCGTTCATTTTTTTTCATATAACCTACGCCATATTGACGCTGGCGTAATGAACGCTGTAGAGGCAGAATTAGTGGATTTTACCGTAATCGCTTTTTAAAAACATTTTTAAAAAAAGGTTGGGGTTGGGAATGTAGCATTAATAGCTCGTTTACTTTGCTGTGTAAACTAGGAAGGTTGGAAAATCGCTAGCGTCCTATGAAAACAGATAAAAAACTAACAGTACTGAAATTTCGTGAATAGTGCTTTTGTAGATTCAGAAGCAACCAAAAAAAACTACGCTTTAAATGGACCTCATTCACCAATCGTAAACCAGCAACATTTAACCACGTGATAATATTGATAAAATAATGAAAAAAACGTATCACGTGACAGCCTTTATGGATTACGTAATTTGTATAGAAGAGATATAGAATCACGTGACTAAATATCCTTAGTTTACGATTGGTGAATGAGATCCATTCTATTAATAGTGTTTTGATACATATTTATAGTATTTGGAGTTTTAATCTCGGAACCAAAAGAGTAGATATGGAATTAGACAGGAAACATGACATGATTAGAGGCGCTAGAAGAAGTGATACTAGAGACGCTTAGAGTAGAAGACTCGATGATTATTTTTCCATGTAAATAAACGCTCTAAAGCAGTGATTCCCAAAGTGGTCTATATAGACCCCCAGTGGTCTACGAAGACTTCCAAGGGGTCTACGAAAGTGAAAAAACAAATTGGGGGTCTATGAGATGTCCATTGGGGTCTACGATAATAGATTTCATTTAAAAAGGTCGTGACTTAAAATATTTGTGTACATCCCATTTATGTAATGTAATTCTTTCCTACATTAATCTATGATTTGTACCTTCGTTAATCTTTGAAATATTTATCCTGCTATTCCAACTAAAAATTATTGTATTTAATTTCAACACTAATTTAAATACCTTGATTTTGTCTACATGTCACTAATGTTGAACAAAAAGAAATGTAATTGAAAAGATTTGATTATTTAAAATTTTTCATTCCTTCCTTATCAAACAAACTGTTGCCCAGAGATTGATTTGCATTGTCACGCGCCAGGATTCGTTATGCCGTTCGGGTAAGCTCAGTGTTAATGACACCTGAAGTTAATTACCACAGTGGCCATTGCTAATTTGCTATATTCGAAAACGGTTGTACCTGCAAGCAGTTAAACAAAGCTTTCGTCGCCTCAGATTTTATCGACATGGGACCAAATGTTTCTCTGTATATCGATGCGGACCTGGCTTTTATGATGATATGAAACCAATTACGCTGGAGGATTATAAGACAATGCCACACTGACAAAAATAGATATCAAGATTTGAAAAACTTTCAAACACTCAACGATTAAGTTCAGAATTAGACCCACAAAATCTCTGTTCGACATCCTATAGAAAAGTTGATGGTTTGTGAGAATCTTACAAGATCTCTTTGATCATCACATCATCATCTCTTTACTTACAGCAAAATATGTAAAACACTTTAGGTGAAACATTGATTTTACCAGTCATTGTAGTTTTAAACACTGTTTAACACAAACCTACATCTGATATTATTAAAAGAAATTCTTTGAACAGCAATACATTTCAAGTTCACTTTGTGTTATATGAGTTATAACATTAAAGGCTTCTTATATAACTCTCTGGAAAACGCCATATCTACAGTTTGGGAACTGCGGCGTCATAGGTTCTGACAGGGTGTAGCGCTGACTGCTGTAAACTGCCTAAGGGTCGTCTGCTCCTTAGTTTTCCTCAGGGTTGACACACTAACTCAATTCCTAACCTTAGAAACAAGGCTTTATTTCAATACAACACGACTGATACACACAATAACACAGTACAGACTGGTCACGATTCACAGACTACGATAATGCGAACACGATTACAAATACTAGCAAGATTACAAGCACGGGTAACACACAAGTTCATTTAACGATCACTCCACCTTTCCTATTGTTGCAAGGCAGCAGAGGCTTGGTCAGTTTTTCTTCTGCTAGGTGGGTAGCTAGCCAAGGCTAATGAACCCTACCTGCTCGAAGCTTACAGGCGACAGTTACTCGCCTTCGACCTTTCTGCTTGTGAAAAAAGCCCCGCCGACCCAATATTTGAACCAAACGTTAAAGATCAAGAAATAGACGTGAAACTGATCTTTGCGAAAACTTTTACAAATTAATTAAGGAATTACTTAAGATTTAATTTTTGAAGGACTACTTCGTAGAACAACAAATTCTTATATGAAACATAATATCCATAGCAACGGATGATACACCCACAAAAAGAAAAAAAAATATTTTAATTGGTTTAAATTAGATTTTTTTTTTCAATAAATACGATATATCTCTATAACTACATATGTAGCTTTGGATTACTTTTTCACTATTCAACTCACTACAGTTAGAAATTTGTTTTAAAAAATGTTGATGAATTTGCAAAAATTTGCAAGTTAAGCAGGGGGTCTACCGAAAACCAGAAAACATGAAAAGGGGTCTACGAGACAAAAAAGTTTGGGAACCACTGCTCTAAAGGTTTACTAAATCTTTATCCAGTCCTTTAAAGAGCCTCGGAAAAGCCGAGCAACTGTTCAGTCTCGCATGTGAATTATAAGTCTTGATAGGAGCATAACATTAGTTATAGTGTGCTAGTTATTACAGGAGAGTATTAAAATGTAATTGAGTCTCTTGTTTTTCCGACATGATGTATGATTCGATGTTTTTATATAGGCACACAACTGATCTAAATCTTCTATATTCCAGCATTCAACATCGCCAGTCTTGTCCTCCTGCTCTCAGCTATCGTCCTCTACAATATTTTCACCATCAAGGATGCCAAGCAGGCTAGGAGGGAGCAGAAAGGCTACTCTGACGTGTCCAGTTCCGAATACGAATGGGATTGATCTGGACACGCAATCCATCAGTCACCTCTCGGTCACAGAATTGTTTTATAAGCTTTAAAAATAAGTGACGTTATTTTTAGTCACTCTGGAAAATTGTTGAATCAAAAATTGATGACGTCATTTGCTTATAATAAATCATTAGCCAATAGAATGCATTTAACAGGTTGCCGGAGAAGTGCAGGAACACGATAAACGTGTGTATGTATTTATGTTGGGGAGTGGGAGGAACTTTTTCATTCCCCCCCCCCTCCCTTTCCGAAATGAATAAGGTCTTGAATAGCGCTTTCCTGGCAAGGTCCTTCTGGTAGCTCCAGCGACAATCAAATTCCTCCATTCTGAGCTGTAGAAATCCATTTCTCTGTATCTACAGCGTTCACTGCATCAGACTCAATAAGGCGTAGGTTGAATTTAAAAAAATGGTCGGGAAGAACTGACAAAAAAACTGTAGTCAACGACTGTTACTGTACCTTTGTAGATCTTAAAGGCCGATGCGTTAAATAGCTGGGTTTGCTAAATCTTTGTGTTACTACCTTCTTGAAGCAGGCTTGTTGTAGTCGCTTAAAAGAGGCTTATGCGATAAAGCTTTTAATGAAAAATTCTGGTCGTTCTAATATCAGAAAGACAAAAAGAATCGCGTTGTGGTATCTTCCACCTGGATCAACTAAACCTGCCCGCCCCTAGTTACGTACATTGTCGTACATAATAACTGTATTGCTTACTTCGTGTTGGGCAAAATATCTAAACTATAGTGAAGGATAACGGTGGGGCCCGTGGTGGGGATTGTCTTAGCAACCAATGACGTCGTAGACTTTAAAAAAAAGCAAAAAGGCGGAGCTACATCGGGCAAAGAGAAAGTGCCATACCCAGAATTCATTTTTTAAAACTAAAACTAAATACTGGTATCAAGATTATGAAAGAATAAACCGAGATGTCAAGGTCGTTGCTATGGCTGTTGAAAGCACTCAAGGCATCAGTCTAGGCGGTCCTGTGAATTGTGTTTCATTAAATCATATTCAGTTGTTTCAATAAATATATATTTTACCACATAGTCATTATTGTAGTCAGAGAAACTAGTCTTCTAGTTCGTTTCGTTCATTATATATAAAAGTTCAAGTTTTTAATTTTTACTGACAAGCTCCGGTGTCTTTTTACGAAACTTGATTACATTCAAACAAGCAACAAAAAATGTTTTTCATTTTGATATCTTAATTATTTTGACAAACAAGGGATGTTCCTCTGTCGAATTCAGAAAATTGAGCCATGAAGCTTAAAAGGACATGCTTGGCCTTCTCTGGTGATGTTCCACAAGGGTAAATCTCACTAGTCCAGGATGGCTGCCTGGTTGTGCGTTTGCGCGCTGGACTGTCGTACGGATTTATCGATGGTCGAAGGTTCAAATCCTGCCCGCTCCCATCCCCCGTCGTCCTGTGGGAGGTTCGGACTAGGAAGTAAACTATCTTCAACTCTGAAGGAACATCCGAAACATGTAAAACATTTTACAGTCCCTATTGTTAGCTTCCGGAACATGTATTGTCTCATTCTGTTTTGATCAGTAGTTATTCATTGTTTACTGTGTTTTGCTTAATGATAATATTTATTGTCAGTCAAGCTATAGTAGTACTTTAATAATATACAAGTGTATATGTTTGTTGTTATTTATTCATCGTTAGAGGGCGTATCATATGTTTCGTTGGATTGAGATTCAAGATAATAAACTCTTTACAAAATTGTAATCAAGATTGTGTTTCTTCAATGTGTTATTATAGAGGCACATCTGAACATGTATGAGGCACATCTGAACATATATGAGGCACCTCTGAACATGTATGAGGCACCTCTAAACATGTATGAGGCACCTCTGAACCTGACAGATGCACCTCTGAACCTGACAGAGGCACCCTTGAACCTGTTAGAGGCACCCCTGAACGTGATAGGGTATTTTTTCCAAAACAATATTATATATTTTTTTACTTTTTCTAATTACTTCACACTGTGTTAATCTTATAAACTAGAGACGTTACTTCCCAACAAGAAGATGATTACGTCCTACGCTTGTCCCTAGGTCGACATAGTCATGCATCAATAGTCAATCATCATAGTCATCAATGACCATAACTCTTTCGTGACGATCAAAATGTACAAAGAACATTTCAAATAAGCAAATTGGATACTTTCCTTTTTCTAGACCACGGAAGGCGTACGTGAGTGTGTGGGCAATATTACTCAAGTATGGGATGTAAAGTCGTGTGTGGTCATTTGGTATGCGCTCTGGACTGACGTTCGGAGGTCTCGAAAGTCCCGGGTTCGAGCCCTACCCGCTGCAATTCCATGTCATCTTGCGGCAGTTTTGTGCTAGGATGTAATTAATCGGATGAAATATTCAAAACATGTAAAACCAAAAAAAAAGGCAAGGCATCAAACCATAAAACACACTGCAATTTATAAGAACTAGATCCAGAGGATATATAAATCTATACTATTAACTCTTTCTCTCCGTAATTATTTATCACATTCAAGTGTAATCAACGATGGTATCGTCAGTTAGGAGAGAAAGAGTTAATACTATATACGCAAAATACCACTCATTCAGGGATCATCAGAGGCGAACTGGCTCTAAGGGCATTTAGGTAAATGTGGGCCAGCGCTCAATGGCCACGTGGGGCCACCGTCGAAAGGGTCACTTTAAATTACATTAATTTTCATAATCGATATTATAATATGCTCTAATGGCAGACCCACAGTGCATGCTGATAGGCGCAACGCCTTTACAATTCTAAACGATCTTTAACAGACTTGACAGTGTTATAGGCCTACCAAGCTATCACGTCTTCAGTATATTGTGATTCTGGTGAGCTTTATTCCATTATACACACTAAGAGGTTTATAAATAAATCGATAAAGCATACAATATTCAGTAAACTTTTAAATAGTCTTATAGAAATCGCTTAGCCATTTTCTTTTCTGCAAGGAGCGTCTGTATTTTAAAAGTTTGAACAGACTCTGTTGAAACCTAGAACGGATCCGCTGTACTTCTAAATCAGTATCGAATGTGCCAATGTGAAAGGTAGTAACTATCGTATTTGTCTATACTTTATATTACAGTGATTCCCAAACTATATTTTTCCTTAGTGGAACACTTCGCACATTCTGAGTATTTAGCGGAACACTTTGCTTATGTTTTAGAGAGATTAAGTCACGTGGTGGCCTACTAGTTAAAGACCAACTGAAGAGGTTTTGGGGTCAATCACAGAAACCATTTTAATACTTGTTTTCAGTAATATAATGCCTAAAAAAATACATGTATGCAAAATACTTTCTTTAACCTTTTAAGACTTAATGATATATGAGCATTTTAATGTGGGTTTTAGGGACACTAAAAAGTCTTAGTCTCGTAGCCATTAGAGATGTCTTTCTCCCTCACGGCACGGGTCCGTGACGTCATATCGTGGAAATTATATAGGCTTTAGCGGCTAACTTTAACCGGTGGGGGGGGGGGGGGGGGCGGTTTAGCCTAGATCAATTCATGCGTACTGAACATTAGTCCACCCAATGTTTGTTTTTTTTTTTTAACATTCAGTTGGTCTTTAAGAAATAAACCAACAATATAATCTAAATCTAGTCTAATTAATCGTCTAGATCTAGAAACTAGAACCTAGTCTAGAAGACGATGAAAATAGAAATAGATCTAGACGTGATCTATAAATAGATTTATTAGAAGTATAGATAGATATTTAGATCAATTTAGATCTATATAGGTATAGATCTAGACTAATATCTACCGGTACATATTTAGATCTAAACTAGTACGTAGTAGGTCTAGAATTAGAAAAGTCTCAATAGTAATACCAATACAGTAGGCTATTACTAGATCTAGATCTACTAGGCTCTAATAATCTAGATTCTAGTACTAGATCTAGTCCATACCCTACAAAGAAGTAGGCCTACTTTGTGTTTCTGCCCACCATATCGTGTATTGCTGTTCACGTGTTTTTTTTTTTATCAACATATATTTATTCCTTTTAATTACGTTCCCTTCGATAATAGTTAAATATATGCTAGCGATTTTGGTTGCAGAAACCGTGTAGCCTATGTGAATTAGATCTACTGAATACTGGCATTCACTTATTAAAATTCCATAGGGTTGATAATGTATGTGTGTTCCTTGAACAATTTTACACCAAGTAGCTCTATGGAAAGCAGATACTGGTATCAATGACGAGTTGAATTTTTTTTTATTTGGTCATGTTGTATTCTAGCAGGTTCGTGGAACACCTACTCAGGCACCACGGAACACTAGGGTTTGGGAAACACTGCTTTATGCTAATCTCATAAATTACAGACGCTACTTCAAAAGAGAAGATAATTACGTCCTACGCATATCCATGTGTCAATCTAGTCATGCGTGTTAATCAGTGATTTAAACTCTGCCAAGTCGTTGGTTTTCCTGGAAAATTCAGGCAACCCGTTCCATGATCTAATGGCACTACTACCGACATTGATTCATATACCCGTAATGGCATGTTAAGTCAAATGTGCACTGTATTATTGGGCTAGCTAGACAAAGAATACGAACATGACTATTACTATTACTATTATGGCGGTGGAGGTGACATGGACAGGGCCGGCCTAAGATAATTGGAGGCCCTAGTCGAAGTGAATTTGGATCCCCCGAATGAAATAGAAAAATTAAAATTAAACAGCGAAAAAATAAAAATTACAACAAAATTTATTTAAAACCTTGTCTACTGCATTTAAAAACACTAATATTGGGTCCAAGTTTTGCCATTGCTTTTACTCTCAATCCATTGCAGGATTCTTACTAAAGTAACAATATTCAAAATAGCTCCAACCGAGTTTAAAAGAGTGAATAAACATGCCATGTAACTTAATAGCATCATTAAGGGAAAGAAGAAGGAAATATGTCGAAATATCGACAAGTCCAGATGAGGACCCGAACATCTATTGTAGCTGTTATATGTTACATGTGTGGGGGCTTGTGGGGGGGGGGGCTGACCAGTTTTGAGGTTGGCTACTGAACAAGGGGTCCTAGGTTCGAATTTCACTGAATACTAGGATTTTGAATTCGGGAATTTTAGGGCGCTCCTGCGTCCACCCAACTCTAATGGGTACCTGACTTAAGTTGGGGAAGGTAAAGGCGATTGGTCGTTGTGCTGGCCACATGACACGCTGCTCGTTAACCGCTGTCCAAAGACAGATGACCTTAACGTCATGTCCTAATAGATCGAAAGACCTGAAAGGGGAAACTTTACTTTTTAGCTTCAAACTTCATGTATGTATCATTAGTTTAATTACTGCTGATCGGAAGCTATCGAGATTCGGTGTAGGAGAAATAACGTGTGCAAACATTTTACCAGACAGAGTGAGTTGATTTAAGCTTTGTAAAAAGTTCCGACAGTTTTCTTGTAAATGAAAAAGAAAAAGTGTGTGTGTGTGTGGGGGGGGGGGGTATTGGGCCATTAAGTGGCTATGAAAAAAATCAACGGGAGTAGCTTCCCTTGACTAGTATTAGAATAAGAGATTCTCTGTTTGGAACTTCGCAAGAAAATAGAGAAGGTTCAACTGGTGCTGAAGTGTGCTGTAAGATTATAGCAACCGAATTTCCAGATAAATCTTCGATGTGCAAATATGTGACCAAAAAAAAAAATTTCAGATTTTCTTTGAATATTCGTTGGAGTGGATTCTGTTGGCTACCACTTTTGGATTTCTTATTTGTTATCGATTAGGACGTCTTGTTTGTAATCCATTGAGATGTCTTTATTGTTATCGATTAGGATGTCTTGTTTGTAATCCATTAAGATGTCTTTATTGTTATCGATTAGGATGTATTGTTTGTTATTGATTAGCATGTCTTGTTTGTCATTAGGAAGACTTCTTTATCGAAATGAGAGAATATGTTTGTTGCCAATTGTCTTACTGACAACTTTAAAATAGTCGATGATTATTAACATTATTTTAAAATATGACTCTAGATACCAATTGATGGCAAATTTATTAAAAACAGGTCTATTGTTATGGCCCACTTTCTTGAACTTTTGAACTTATGACCTAGATTTGGACAGGCCAGGTAATAAGCGTAACTAAAAGACATTTCAAGAGTTGAGATCAGGGAATGGAGAAATATTTAGTTGAAATGTAACGGTACCGTTTTTTTAATTTTTGTTATTTATTGTTTTCTACAATTGTTTCACTTTTAAAGTTGTTTGTTTTTTTCTGTCTTATGGCGGACGAAAATAAACACACGGATATTTTTCAGGGTAAGATTTCTAAACACACATACACACAAAAGCATGGTGTATTTTTTTAGTGAGAGAGAGAGAGAGACAGACAGAGAGAGAGAGAGAGACAGAGCACTAGAAGGTCGACATGGGGGGGGGGGTGAAAGAAAGAAAGAAAAAAGGTCAAATTAAAACTTTTGCTTTCCAATACGAATGCCATTCGAATCCTAATAGAAATATTTTTCTTCAGACTTTCTTTTGACGCTCTCTCTCTCTCTCTCTCTTTATTTCCGGTCATTTCATCCCCGGTCACTTCATCCCCGGTCACTTCATCCCCAGTCATTTCATCCCCGGTCACTTCATCCCCGGTCATTTCACCCCCTGGTCACCTCATCCCCGGTCACTTCATCTCCTGGTCATTTCATCCCCTGGTCACTTCATCATTCTTACGTTTCAAGGCTTTATAGGTCATAGATCATAGAACGTAGATTTT